GGAGTGGCAGTTTGACACAATGAAAACTGTAACATTTACATGAGAATTAGGATTTATGTCAACAGTCGCCATTATTTATGATTTTCATTCCTACTATTAGCTGCATGCCAAGTTATTCTAGAAAAAGGTTCTCCAGATCTAAATGTTTACATATTCGTTCTAGGATTGCGTAAGATCCCATTAACTAACTCCACGTGAAAATCATATCCCAAAAATCCAAAGCATCAGGATGACTGTCGAAAACTAAAGTGTACATACTCATTATGGTCAACAGAATTTTTTATCAAAAGTGAAGAATCTTGTTTTCTTATATACCTTAACTAGAGTGCCTTGAAACATGCATTATATACAGATTGTTAAATTATAATCTGTATTTACATTTATTATACATCTATTTGCACACATCTAATAATTCCTGTCTACTAGATTTGATTTGGTGAAATGTTTTCTTCAACTGGAACATGGAATAAATTCAGGTAAAAAAATTATTTGTTGTCCAGAATAAAAGCCAAATAGACTGATTTTATTTGAATAATACATCCAAAGTTATATCATTTTGGTGTGTCTCATCAAAGTTGTCGTCACCTGGAGAGCAGAGGAACAGATCAGTCTTGCATAAAAGTATATATGGGTTTGTTGTAGGTAAATTTCTGAGACATACTTTGAAGGGAGACCTGATTAAAAATAAATTCAATCAGTTTTCTTTCTTTAGGAAATATAAATGAGGCACTATTGCCAGCAAATTAACTTTAATGCTTTCTCTTCCATGATAAATACTCCAAAGAAGACAAATATATCCAAAGAGATTTAGAGAGAAATTTTTGGGAGAAAAACGTAACTCTCTTATATGAGATATATATGTATCTTTCTTATGATGTGTTACCTAGCACGCCTGGTAGCTGAATGTAAGCCGAATAACCTCGAGGGTCAAGATTACCCATTTTGGAACACTGGGTAATTTAGGGCAGAGTAGCATTGCATCATTTGATAAAAGCTTATAATTAATGATTACTAATAGAGGAAATATCTTATAACAATTCCTTTTCCATCTAAAGATAAGCATTTTAGAACACAATCAAATATGGAGAGATGTGTACATCCATTAAGGAATAAATCAGAGATACTGATCTGATTATATCATATACAAAGTTGCAAATACTCTTTGTTTATTATATTTCAAATTTTTCTAAAAACTATTAATATGGGACTTTTGAAAGACATATAGGCCAAAAAATGCACAATTCATTATGTTATTGAGATCTTCCATATGCAAGCATTTAATGTTGATAACAAATAGTGTATCCAAGATAAAGGAGATTTTACCTCCTTAAACATAATTTTCAAGTGATCAAAGTACAGATCAATGATTACTATTTTGCTAATATCATATTATTCTTACCTTATTTATTTAAGTGTACTCCAATGGCTCTCTATTTATAATACGATAGTAATCAGTTGTACATAAAAGTATTATTTTTATGTATCCTACAATTCTCCAAATATCCCAAAATTAATTCTAATTTTTAGCAAGATTTATCCACATCCTTATTCCCATGTTAATATAAACTCTAGGAGATCTACTCTAAGGAAATGATTTTTTAATCATGCTTAATAGTCTAAATTATATGACTAAATAGTCTAAATTATTGTAATAGTCTATATTATATTGATTTATAATTTATAAATTATTAAAATTACAGATATATGAAAGATGGTACGATTTAAAAGATTTAAGAATAAAAAAATTATAAGATATACTTAAAACATTATAGAAATACTCATAAGCAGGATTATTCCCATATCATAAAGAACAATGAAAAAGTCAAAGATGAGATGAGAAATAAAATCTGATTAATTTTCCAAGATTAAATAAAATTAGAAAGCAAGAAAAGTATGGATTTATTAATCGGAATAAAAAAACAAAACCAGAAAATAAAAGGAAAAAAATTAAGATACAACTCTGTGTTCAAGGACTCTTTTTAATTAGTTACAAAATTATGAACACAACCAAGGACACATTTACAGTAAATCATGATACGGTTTAGTTTAGTGAAATAGATCTGTACTTGGACTTCAAGTTCAGGACTAATTCAGAAGCCTGTGTTACTTGAGAGGTGGGGCCCAAATAAGTAATGTGCTAAGAAAACTTTAGACGTGCAATGCAGTGTGGATTCTGAATAAAATCCTTTTCACTGTGACATCTTGATGGCCATCGTGACCCAGTTACGTGACATCGACTATTAATGTTAACCAGGTAATCGGAAGTGGGCTGAGTTGGAGATGGTACTTTTGTAGTATGGGTAGCTTCCTGCCTAAACATCTCTGAGAAAACAATTCGTTCCAACTTTATTTTGCAACAGTAGTTGGAAATTTTTCCTTTATCTCAATGTAGACACCACAATATCAAAATTTGTCAACATAACATGAAAAAAGTAAGTACCTCTCCCAAGAAAGGCTGCTCTTCAGCAGCATGGCTGTCCTCCCATCACTCTGGGCTACTTGTCAGAATCTTTAAGAGCCTTTGGACACAAAACAATCACAGAGGAAGTGGAAGAATGTGGCATTAAGAGGTCATTAGTGAACAAGGAAGAAAAGACCCAACCATCAACATTCAGAGCTAGTTTAATCATAAGAAGCAACACTGAGTAATATTTACTGTGAAACACCATTAGAGGAAAAGCAAAGAGTAATATCGCTAACCCACTCTCCTTTCTCCCCTGCAAATGCCTGCAGCAAAAAAGTTTTGGCCTTAAGTATCTGAGTAGTCATGGATTCTGGTTTTTCCTCTTTTACAAAATTCAAATACGTAGCCAAAGGAAAGAACTGCCCAGCTAGCTAAAAGCTATGCTATATTGAAGATGAGAATTATTAACTTATGAAAAATACCTACGATCGGCATTTATTTATACCTATGAACATAAAACAAATTTCGTAATTACATTCTTCTCTGTTATGACCTAACTAAAATTTTAGGAGACAGCTATTAGGAAAAGCTTCCTCTCACGTCAGGTCCATCCGCTTTGTTCAAGGCAAAGCAACTGAAATAAAAATAACAACTCCACATACTAAATGGAATTCTTGCAGGGCATACAGTAGCAAACATTCACCTCTTACTCCTTTCTTATTGGCAAAAATCCACAACAGTCACATCAAGGATAGCATGTTTAGGAAAAAACTAAAGCCAGTGCAATGCTGGCTTCGACAGTTCCAGTTTCGTTCACACGGATTTCTACTGCTATGATATCATCCCACTCTGCTGTTCAAACACAAACTAACCTCAACACAAACACGTTCTCTTCTACTTTGCTTGAGATAAAATAACAAATTTTAAAGACATTTCTTCGGTACTCACTATGGAAAAAACTGTTTTTAGAAGTATTCTGACAACCAGATCCTATTTTCTCATTTTTTTTTTTTTTGCTACCAGGCATGCAGTAAAACTTTCACATTAATCTCTTGCAAACCTAAAGAGTTACAGCATTAACAAGTGTAGACTGACAGTAAAGTTAAATATGAAAACTCTAAAGGAGTTAGAAAGACACATGGCCACTAAGCAGCGAGGCTGTGACATGGTCTGTCTCATTAAAGCAGCACTGATCTCCAACCTGTGCCTAGATAATCCAACCTGTACCATGTGCGCAACCACCTGTATGCTCTAGAAACTTCAGTCATTTCCAAAGAATGATGAGAGGCTAAAAAAAAAATCACACGATTAAGGAGTCCAAAACGGCCTTCAAGGTTTCCAAAGTCAAAGCATTTTTACTGCTATTGACGTTGACATCAACATTGTAGGATGATAAAAAACCCCTGCTTAGGAGAGAACAACACTGCAAACTGCAATATGATTTCCTCTTTTTATTTTATCTATTTGTTTCTTCGGTTTGTTTTTTTTAGTTTTTTTGTAGAGACAGAAGTCTCGCTATCTTGCCCAAGCTGATCTGAATACCTGGCCTCAAGGATCCTCCCGCCTCGGCCTCCTAAAAGTGTTGGGATTACAGGCGTGAACCACTGTGTCCAGCATCCTCTTTTTAAAGGAGAATTTTTTTTTTTAAGTTAAACTTTTAGGCAGGTCACTTGGACTTTATGTTTATTCAGGTTCAGTACAATAAATTGCTCCTGTTCCTGAAATATCTACTATTTACTTCTTGTTACCTGGACCAACTCAATACACAGTTTAGGAATTCTGTGCTACAGGCCTAAATACAGGTAGGGTGGAAAATTGTGATAGCCTGAAAATAATGCCCTACTTTTCATGACTTAAGTTGCAGTAAATTTGGGGTGACCTCTAATAGCATCTCTCTCTCTTTTCCCCAGGGCCACTGGTGACAAATCAGTGTGATTTCCAGTGTTTCAGGCCCATAGTGTCTAATCTTTCAAGGCCCAATTATTCCCGATAATCAAGCTTCAATTAAGCCAGGTGAGGTAGCTCACACCTGTAATCCCAGCACTCTGGAAGGCTGAGGTGGGAGGATTGCTTGAGCTCAGGAGTTTGAGACCAGCATGAGCAAAATCGAGGCCCTGTCTCTAGTAAACAAATAGAAAAAAAAAAAAAAAATCAGTCGAGCTACTAAAAATAGAAACAAAAAATTAGCCGGGTGTGGCGGTGCACAACTATAGTCCCAGCTGCTTGGGAGGCTGAGGCAGGAGGATTGCTTGAGCCCAGGAGTTTGAGGTTGCTGTGAGTGAGGCTGATGCCACGACACTCCAGCCTGGGCAACAGAGTGAGACTCTGTCTCAAAAAAAAAACAAACAAAACAAAACAAAAAAATCTTGAATTAAATGTGGTTCTGGCAGCTTCTAAATCCAGGTATAATGTGGGGTTTTGCATTTAAAACCATGTATTCAAAATACCGGCAATCAAACACAAATTCTTATTAAATGTTTTTTGGTTGATTTGAGATAACCTGTGTAGAACTTTACAAAAAAAACGACAATACATAAATATTTTATTTGTATTAATGTAATATAAACACAACCATTTAATTTTCCTGAAAGTTTACCTTCTTTCCTAGGTCTTCTTTTCTGTATCCTAAAAGTTCAAGGTATTTTCCACGAGAATCATCCTCAAAGTTTACCTTTTAAGAAAGACATATTCTTGAAACAAAGATCTACATTTAAAGGGCTGATTTTTATAAGAAACGATCAGATTCTAAGAACCATTAAAACTACTTAAAGTCTACTATGTCATTCTGAAGCGCCACTGTTAGAAAGAATCCAAAAATCAGTTATTTAAAAAAATAAGATTTTTTAATGGTAAGTATGTAAGTAATTAATTATCCTGGTTGAACGAGTTTATTTTTGAATTATAATTTTTGTAAATACAAACTCACTCTTGTCCAAACTTTAAATGAATGCAAAACTCATCTTATGTGGAACATATTATGTCATAAATAATCTGTCAAAATTAATACTTAATTACAAAACGTAAAAATAAATTCTACAATTTTAGAATCTAAACTTAAAATTTTTAAGATCGTTTTTCCTTGGAAAATTCAGTAACTGCAATAAGAAATAGATATTCCAAGTGGAGGCAAAATGACGAACCAAGAAATTCTATTTGTTATTCTATTGTTAAAAAACACAACTCAGTAAAAAGAATGTTTTCCCCTGTAACTCCTCTTAAAGACAGGATGATAAATACTACCTCCAACCTCTCTCTCCTATGCCTCTTCCCTCTTTTCCTATTTTCTGTAACTGGATCTACTACAGATAGTAAATATTCTATGTTTTTATTATAGTAAGCTCTATGTTCTCATTGTAAAATAGGTATGCTGAATGTTAAGTCTCTCTCCCCCAAATATATCTATTATCTTATATTGTTTCTGGTTTACTTACTGAAAAAGTATTTCAGATTAGGCTTTTCCAAGAAGAAAAGGAAGAACTCTTGACATAAGAAGTTAGGTTGTGTGCTCTTTTACAAAGTTTCTTAATTTCACCATAAAGCCCAGAAATCGCACTTTCCCATTCGCTTCTTTCATGGGAAGACAAGTAAGAATATAACGGGAACATTTAAATTTGCAGATGATTAAATGAAATGATTTTAAAATGTCAACTTTACCTTCAAAAAGGACCAGACGTTTTTCTCAAACTCGACCTGAGAGGCATCGATTTTCTTCTGGCAGTAAGCGGCGTAGCCTTGTGACCGCACGGCCTGCTGCAGCTGGTCGGACCGGCTGAGGAACTCCCTTTCCGTGACCACTTGGCTGACGAACACCTGGTGCTTTGGCGGCTGCTCGGCGCCCTGCTGAGACTGCCCTCTGACGTTCTCGAACGTGACCAGTTTGCCTCCGAACTGTGGAAGGACAAACGAACGCAATCAGTTTCGACCACAGGATACGGCCCGAAAAAGCGCTTACAGTAAACCCACTAAAGCAAAGAACTGTGGCCCAAACGTGTATCCATCAACTCGGAGGACGTGGGCTGATATTCGAATTTCCTCCAATTTTCATCCTTCCTCTCCACGATCCACCTTCTAGAAGAAAGGTGCTGTTTACTGTGCCGCACAGTTTCTCAGACACTTGCTTTTACTGCTTTCTACACACTCAACACCACTACTTTTCCAAGGCCCTGGCCAACATCAGCTTTCATCCCAGATATTCTCAGCAGAGTTTGTGTCTCTTCTGATTCAACTACTGGCTCTGCGTCCTTGTCTTACCTTCTGTTCTAGGCCCTAAGTTTCAAGGCAGGCTCTGCGTCTGCTTTACTCTTAAGCAACGAAACGGTTAATATCTGACTAATACACGCATATATAATAAATATATGGAAAGAAGGAAACATAGGACCAAATTTGGTTTTCACACTTAGCAATGTCTATACAAGGATTAAGGTGGCCGGGCCTTTCATCCCAGTACTCTGGGAGGCCCCGGCAGGCAGACTGCTCGAGGTCAGGAGCTCGAAACCAGCCTGAGCAAGAGCGAGACCCCGTCTCTATTATAAAATAGAAATAAATTAATTGGCCAACTATATATATATTAATATATTATAAAATAGCCGGCATCTCGGTGCATGCCTGTAGTCCCAGCTACTCGGAAGCCTGAGGCAGGAGGATCGCTTGAGCCCAGGAGTTGGAGGTTGCTGTGAGCGAGACTGAGGCCACGGTACTCACTGTAGCCTGGGCAAAAAAGTGAGACTCTGTCTCAAAAAAAAAAATAAAAAGGATTAAGGGCTTTACTCGAAACTATCCTATTAAATGTCAAGGTGTTCTAGGTGTTTCCTATGTCAAGCATTGTAAGAAATACCAAGACTTTAAGAAAACACAAATCACTATCTTTAAGGAACTTAACATGAAAAAAACTAAACGGGGACGCAGTACCTGTTGGCAGCACTAAAATTGATATTTTGATTCCTCATCTACACTTGGTACCAAACTCATTGAGCAAAAATTGAGTGTTACTTATTCTTGAATACTAGTGAGAAGAGGTGGGGAAATGGGGGAGGAAGACGTTCACTTTTCAGTCCAATGATACACACACACCTTGATTTGGCAGGCACCACTCTAGGCGTTGGGAACCCACCTGTGATCAGAGTCTCTGTTCTCAGTAATTCACATTTGGGTGGAGAGGTGCTTTTCTGTACAGTTTGAGTATTTTTAAACCTCCATACGTGTGTAATTTTATAATAAAAAAATGTTTTAATTATTTAGAGAAGAACTAGTTAGCGGAATGATTAAGCTTCAGAAAAACTGGTAAGGAAAATGGAGAGTTCTAAGCAAAGGGAAAGATTCAAGGACAGGAGTGCAGCCAGTAGAGGAGACCAGACAGGACGGATGGGATTAATTCAATCCAAAGAATGGATTTATGAATGACATCACACATAATCAAATGTCTATTCTAGGAAAATAAATCTGGAGTTTAAGTAGTATGGATTGGAAAGGAAAAAGAGAAGCAACAGACATACAATCAAGCTATTTATTGGAAGAGTTTGGTTAAAAAGATAAAGAATTAGGCAGAGGAGTAGCAATGTAAAAGGAAAAATTAAATCCAAGAGGTTTATAAAGAGATCAATACTGGCACTTAAGGCATGAATACGAGAGGCCAAAGAAAGAATGCTGAGCCTGGTTACTAGAAGAATGACACTAGCAGAGGAGATAAAGCATTCGGTTTGGGGAAATGAGAATATACAGAATTATATGATGTGACTAACTGTTATGATGATGACAAATGCAATGGGAGTGAACCAAATGATTAGTATCTAAATTTTAGGGATGATTACCTAGAGACTCGCTTTCTATCAGTATGTATGGCAGGGATTTGATTAGACGGGCAGTAGAACAGCTAAAAGTTTTATAATTGTGTCACATTAGACAAGTTACTTAATTTCTTTATGCCTCTCTTTCTTCACATGCAAAATACTAGTAGCTATTTTATAAGGTGGTCGTGAGTATTAAATGAGTTACTATATGTAAAATGCTTAGTTCCAGTTCCGGGTACAGAGGAAATAGCAAACATTTTAGCTATTAATATTATTATTAATGATGGGTTTTTTTGGTTTTTTTGTATCTGTAGGTTTTAGGGGAAAAGTGACTTACTATTGGACAAATGGCTTGTCCTATTACAAGATTTTCAAAAACAGCAGTGAAATAAGAATATTTAGGAAAAGATTCCTTTTTTCCCTTGGTCTACAGGGATGGCCGGAGTCTTCTAAGCTGCAACTTGAGAATCACTGCTCAACTGGAAAAGACAGTCCTTGGGCAATTCATATATATATATCCTCTCTCACCCTGATTCAAACGTTTCTTCCTTCTAATAGCCTGAATCTATGTGATCAAGCTTCAAACTCTATCAGTCTGTAGTAAATAGGAGACAGAGGAACATTCTGGAAATACAACTACGAGGAAAAATATGTCAAACAACATCATGAAGATATAATCAGACAAATCTAGAATGTGAGAAATTCTACATAACGAATAACCCAGTTTATTCAATATATACATAGCAGCCAAGCATGGGGGCTCACACCTGTAATCCCAGTGACTCGGGACGCTAAGGAGAGAGGATTGCTTGAGACCAGGAGTTCAAGACCAGCCTGAGCCACGTAGTGAGAGCTGTCTCACACTGTCAACAACAGTATGATCCAGCAATCTCACTTACTGGCTATATAGCCCAAAGATTTGAAAACAGGATTTTGAAGAGATATTTACACACCCATGCTCACTGTGGTATTTATTTATAATAGCCAAAAGGTGGAAGCAACCTAAAATATCCATCAACAGATGAACGGATAAAGAAAATGTGGTACATAATACAAGGGAGTATTATACAGCCTTTAAAAAGAAGGAAATTATGTCATATGCTAAAACGTGGAGGAACCTTGAGGATATTAAGTGAAATAAGTCAGTCACAAAATGAAAAATACTGGGCATGATTGTCTGTTTAACCATGGGTTTCTTTAACTAGTCCAAACCCTAGAAACTGAAAGCAAAAATGTTGGCCTTTACAAAGGGCTTGAGAGGAGGAGGGAAATAAGGGCAAGTTTGTTTTTTTATTCAATGGAAGAGAGTTCAGTTTTGGCAGACAAGAAAGCTTCTAGAGATCTGTTGTAAATAATGTGTTTATTCCAACCATGTGTTATTATTCAAAAGTTTGTGATATTGATTTTATGTTATGTGTTTTTTTACAATTAAAAAAAGAGCTTGGCAATTTTTTTTTTTTTTTTTGAGAACAGAAGTCCTCGACTCTGTTTTCCCGGGCTACGAAGTGGCCAATAAAGTGTTTCCAGCTCGCCTCCCAGCACTCCCAACTCCTGGGCTTCAACGAATCCTCCGCCTTCAAGCCTCCCGAGTAGCTTTTGGAACTACAGGCCATGCCCACCATGCCCGGCTTCCATTTTTTTTTCCATGTAGTTTTTCTAGTTGGCCAATTACACTTTTGTTTTATTTTTAGTAAGAGACGGGTTTCTCATTTTTTTGCTTCAGGCTTGGTTTCGAATCCCTGACCTTTGAAGCCAATCCACCCCCTCAGGCCTCCAGAAAGTGCTAGAAATGACCAGGCATGAAATTCCAACCTGGCCCCCGCCAAAGCTGGAAATTGGAAGAAAAACTAGAAGGAAGAAGAGAAGGAGAAAAGGATACTTTCTCCATCATAAAAAAAAAGGAGAGAAAGAAGAAGAGACCAATTTTTTTTTTTTGTCAAAAGAGAGAATTGTCGGTTTTTTTTTAAATTTTTTTTTAGAGACAAGGGTCTTTGTTCACCCAGGCCTAAAAGGGAGCAAGGTAAGTTGGTTGCCAATCGTAAAAGCTTCCAAGCAACCTCAAACACTCCTGGAGCTCAAGCAATCCCACACTCAAATTTCAGGCAAGCTTAGGAAACTGCAAGTCCCTTGCCACCTTTCTTGGGTAACTTTTTTTATAATTTTTCGTAGAGAATGGGGGTCTCACTTATGTTTTCGCCCAGGTTGGTCTCAAACTCTAGCCCGAGCGGGATTCTCCCACCCTTGCCTCCAACGAGCACCGGTCATTCTAGGCGTGACCCCCATTAAAAAACTGGCCCTAAAACGCGAGCCCATCTTTAAAAATGGTTTCAAGTGATGACTGCTTGTGCTATTTTTTTTAACCACAAGTTTTCACTGACCGACATAAGGAAAAGGAGAGAGCAGGCCCTGCCGTTCCTGATAAGCCATTCTGAGCGATGAAAGACACACGGACAACGCTTTTCAAAACCCAAACCCCTCCCGCCCCGGCGACGGCGCCACGCTTCCCTGCTGTGCGGGCGGGCCACGAGGACAAAATCCACCTACTGAGAAAGCAGCGCCGACCGGCTCCGGAAAACCCACTTTTTAGGCGGCTTTCTTCGGGGCAGCAAACGGCGCTGTGGGGCTGGCCGTACTTGCTGGGGGAATCTGCCAAGGGAAGGGAGGGGGCTTGCCCAGTCCAAAGGGATCCAGAATTTGCCCAAACCGATGGACGAAAATGCTAAAAAAAAAAAAAAAAAAAAAAAAATTAAAAATAAGGTGAAACCAATCTTGTTTGACTTAAAACGCAGAAGACAAGGTTTGAAACAAATCTTGTGAACCTTAACGCAAAAGACACGTTCTCATTGTTTTTCAAGGTCACAAATCGCGAGAAAACTGTTGTCTCCCAGTCATGCGGTTAACCAGCGAGGCTGATCGGTGGAGTCGTTTGCAAAATAATTATGCAGTGGGATTATTTTTCCCCAGGTGTTATAATAAAAAAAAAAAAACTTTATTGTTTTTTCAATACCTTTGTCTCCACTGCTTCTGCGTAAAGCCCCCGTCTGTTGCTTTCCCTCGCCAGTTTCGAAAAATGGAAATACACAACTGAATGCGGCCGTTCGAAGAACGGCAAGCCCGACAGGACGGCGGTTTCGGGGAAACACAACTTGAATTTGTCGAGCACCACTGCCGTTGTTTGGTGGGAAGTTTTTATTCATACAAACACCTGCGTCGACGGAAAGAACAGACAGCACAACTCAGAAAGCGTACGGCCACTTCACAGCCAAAACACCTGCACTGATGTGGCCAACAAGCACATCTAAAATTAAAACAGTTTTGCTTTCTTTTTTTTTTGAGACAAGAGTCCTCAATGCTGTTTTCCGCCAGGCTAGCAGTGAGTGTGCCCGGTGGCAATCAGCCCGCTCACGGCAACCTCCAACCCTGGGCTCAAGCAACTTCCTGCCTGCCAGCCTTCGCCTCCGATACTGGGACTTCCAGGCATTGCCCCACCATGCCGGCTTAAATTTTTTCCTTATACTATCAGTTTTAAGTTTTGCAATTAATTTTCTCTAATTTATGGTAAAAGGATGGGTTTTCTTGCCTTTTTTGCTCCAACTGGTTTCTTCGAACCCCCTGGACCCTTTTGAAAAGCCGATCTCCTGCCCTCAAAGCCTCCCAGAGTGCTAGGATGACAGGCGTTGAGCCACCGCGCCCGGCCTAAATTAAACCTTTTCTTTCGGAAAGTGTCTTTGGCCAGGAAAAATGATACCAAGATTTTTAAAAGTATAATATAAGAATGATCCATTATAATTATTTATTATGACAAACAGGAATGTAACCTAAAATGTCAACCAGGTTTGAAAAAGTATATCTTAAAAACTGAGGTTTTCTCGTTTTTATTGAAATGGTAGTAATGCACGCATTTGAAAGACCAGAACACTCTACTATAAAGTCAGCTTGTTAAACTCTGAAAGATCAACAGTGCCCTGTCTAACTGTTTTTGTTTGGCAAGACCCAAACAACCATATTTAGGTTATTGGAAGATCAAATTTTTAAATCAATCTTGAGAAGGAAGAATTCACTAAGAAATCTCAAAGGACATGGAAAAAAACTATAGATAATTACTGATACAAAACATTTACAATGTTATGATTGTTGCTAATTCAAAGATAAGTTTGATGGTAACTGCTATTCATAGAAGCATACATTTGAGGCCTTAAAAAGTAATTCACATGAACTTAACTTTCGCTTTATGTGACATTTAACTGTTTTACGTTATAAGAAAACATAATTAAGTGAAACGATATTTAGCCTGCTTATGTTTTTGATATTGATGATACTTAAATCACTATTCTTAATTTGCATTTTAACAAAAAGATCTAACATTTTTAGTTGTAGCAGGTCCTAAACGTCTCTTCCTTCAAAGTCAAAGCACACATAACTAATTACATACAAAAATTCATTTTATCAAATTATATAACTGAGAAAATGATGACAGAACAGTTAAGTTCTAAGAATTTTGAACTTACTTGGGAAGGTGCAGTGTAAAATGCAAGATTTTTATTATTTGGTCTACAAATCATATGAGATAAAATTTATTGTTATTTTAATGTTTTCTCTTGTCTCCTCTAACTTTAATGTTTTTTTGGTTTATTTTTTTGCTGTCATACATGTACAGTACATTGAACATCTGTGTCTTTGTAATGATCAGAGAGCATGCACATTACTAAATTGGCCTTCTAGAAGATTGTATTAAATTACACCTCTGTGAACAGTGTGTTTCCAAAGCCTAGCTGGAAATAATTTGAGATTTGGTTTTCTCAAGATTAAAAACTTCCCTGTCCCTTTGTGTTTTCTATAGGGGGATTTGCAATTGCTTGGAGCATGGCAGATCCCGAGTTTTACTGACTGCGGAAAAGACGCGAAGATTCCTGCGCCAACCCGAACACAGGAGAGGTATGGGGTGGAGATGTTTCCCAACATTGCAGTCTTGTAGCATATTTTTCTGGCTGTATAAGAAATTTCCTATATGGATCCCTTAGTGCGTTATTCTGTGAAAAGCATATGCAGAGGTGTGTGTCAGAGATTTTTATCAGGAACATATCTAAGCTCAGCTATTGTAACCAGAAAGCGGGAATTTTCAATCACTGAAGTAGTATTACTAAAACTAATAATCACTCCCTCCCATTTCCAATAAAATGTATTTATTACCTAGACTCAGAAATACTTAATTTTAATTATTTCATATGTGGTTCATGGAAATTGATATCATCAATTTGATATCATCAATAGGATTGTTCAAGGTTTGGGTCTACGCCTGGTTTATCATTCCTGAAGGTTCTTCACTTTTGGAAACAAGTAGAATTTTTTTTCTTTTTTTGAGACAGTCTCACTCTGTTGCCCAGGCTAGAGTGCCATGGCGTCAGCCTAGCTCACAGCAACCTCAGACTCCTGGGCTCAAGGATCCTCCTGCCTCAGCCTCCTCCCGAGTAGCTGGACTACAGGCATGCGCCACCATGCCCGGCTAATTTTTTCTATATATTTTTAGTTGTCTAATTTCTTCGTATTTTTTAGTAGAGACGGGTTCTCACTCTTGCTCAGGCTGGTTTTGAACTCCTGACCTTGAGCAATCCGCCCGCCTCGGCCTCCCAGAGTGATAGGATTACAGGCGTGAGCCTCCACGCCCAGCCAAGTAGATAGAATTTTTCAGTCTCCTGAATGATAAAGCAGGAATATAAATTATAGCTTTTATACTTTTACTTTTTCTATATTCCTATGCTGTAAGTGCTTCTGTGGTTACTCTGATGGAATGCTAATAGAAATAATAGTGCCTTCAGTAAGTTTTAATTATATTGTTAAAATGAAAAACACTTTAGTTATTTGATTTCTGGCTTGAAGTTTTTGGATGTAGCAATGTCTGTAAGAAAAAAAT